CGTGCTGCGGCTGTCCCCCGGCCCGAAACGGGGCTTCGGCCTGGGACACCCCCCCTCCGATCGGCCCCCTCCCGCGCTTTTTCCCGGTCCCGCAGAGCCTGCCCCGCAGTTACGCGCCGTGGGTCTGTGAAACGGGCTCATTAAAGGGACGGGACCTTTGGGGAAATACTTTTTATTAGATAAAACGGGTGAAGGGAGGGGGGCACTGCCAAGAAAACAGCGTCAAGAACTATAAATACAGGAAAACTTTTGTCACTAACTCCGTAGTAACATCTGAGTAAACGTGAAGCACTTCCGAGCCTGTAATCAAGGAGCACATCGTTCCTCGTCAGAAAAGTATGCAGAGAGTAAAACTGGGGTTCGTAACTAGTTAGCAAATACGCCTCCACCGAAACAGTGATACAGCGTATTCACGTGTCGCTTGCAGGGATCCACAATCAAGTAGGCAAAAGTCTGTTCGTGGCTTTTGCTTGAAGGGTAACATAGGCCATTAGCATCCTGCCAGGAAGTAAAAAAAAAAAAAAAAAACAAAGCAGTATTAGGGACAACATGGATACCCATGACAAAATTAAGAAAATCTGAATGAAACTGATAATTTGTTCCAATTGATAGTTTATTGCATAGCAAAACAGAACAAATACACCGTAGTTTATTGAAAACAGCATTATGTCTCCATGAGAATCCCAACGCTACAAAATGCACAGTAGTTCTAGCTGAATGTTTCAAATAACCTTGAGGTAAATGTAATATTAATATAAAATGTAAAAATAAACATGTAAGCATGTGTTTACACAATTATAAAAATTACAAATGATTAAATTTACAACAGCCCCATCATGTTTCCTGTGAAAGAGAAAAAAATCATAGACTCTATATTAACACATAAAACTGTTCCATCATTATAATTTTTTTTCATTTAACATTTGCTAATGCATCTGTTCAGGTTCAAATATCTGCATTTAAGCAAAACCCGCATTACAGCTCTTTTTAACAATTTAGGACTGTTATTGAAAACATTTTGTGTGCCAGTCCTCAGAAAGGGTTTGAAGGGAGTCTAGGCACCTAAGCTCCAAAATGCTCATTCTGAAAAAACACTTTCAGCTGACAATCAGCACAGGAACTGGGCTCTTCAGTTTAACATCCTACGTCTGCACATGTCAATAAAAGCTTCAGTGTTGACAGAGCAGCACAGTTTGACACATATTTCAAACCCAGTAGGGATCCAGAAGCTAGATGGGGGGATTTTTGAAGAGTTGATTTTTTTTATTCAGTCAACGTGGTAACTGAACATCTGAAAGATCAATAAATACGTAGGGACACCTCTTTTCTTTTAAAACATGTAACAGTTCCCTCCTGCTCCCCAACCCGTTTATGAAAGAGCTGAAGAGATGTAAGTTCTGTTCCACTTTTTTGCCTGAGGGAAATTGCTATATTGCATATATTGCCCATTTTGTCCAGGAAAATTTTAAACTCCCAGAGTATTCCAGATGAGGGTCACATGTCTCACATTCTTTTGTTCAAGCTGTCTTCCTTTGCATAAAATAATCCATCTCAGTGGTTAAGGTAGTCAGGTTAGAAGGAAAAGTTTTGGGTCCCTGTTTCTGCTCCAAGGACCATTTGTGAATTTTATCCATTAGCTGTTACTGGCACCTCATTTTCTCCTGCTATTTCAAGGAGGATGAACCCCCTACTAGATGTTCTGGTGTCTTCCTTTGGGGAATTATTCAAACTCCTGAACCTTAAATTAAGCTAAGCACCACCATAAAAGCACTGTTTAAGACAGGTAGAGATTTGATAATGTTTATTCACAGCATTTTCCAATGGTAGTCAAATGCCACAAGCTAAAAATAGTATTCTATTTTTAAGCCAACGCAGCATACAAGCTCTGTAGCTCCAATTGTAAGATGCCTAGCTCTCTTCAGGTGTTTTTTAGGGACACATATGTAACAAACTCTGGACTCTCATCTGCAAGTAAGGGGAGAAAGTTTTAAGATTTTACAGTGCTCATCACAATGCCTTTGGAGTTTGATCCAAAAATAACCTAAGCTCATGCACAGAAGTGAAGAAAAAAAAGTAAGAGAAGACCAACATGAAGATCTGATTGCTAGCTAAAATCTTTTCCCATTGCTACCAAGGATCCCACTCCTGCACTCCTTATGGAATCAACTGATGCCAGTTGACGTTTTGGCTGTTTAAAGGCAGTGTTAGCCCACTAAAAATTTTTTCAACAAGAACAAAAACTAATTAAGTTCTGGTGATAAGGCATTTCAAGAAACTCCAGAATATACCAAACTTGGTATGAGGAAAATAATAAATATAACTTAATTAAATGAAAAGGGTTTTAAAATTTATTTTAATTAGTAAAAGAGGTCATAAAAACCCTAAAATACTAGAGCACAAAGACTCTGAAATTTACATTCATGCATGTACACAAATTAAGAACCATACCAATTCCATCTGCAGTGTGGACTTTGGTTCAGACATCCAGGGGGTGTAATGATTGATTTATTGATGTACTGTATTTTTTCTTTGTAGCAACACAGATAATCAGCTGATGATTTAAGAATACATATGCACAGCATAATACAGAAATAAAAATACTGCTGAACATTCTCAAAACTGCATAATTTAATCAAGTTTTTTTAAAAAATACTTCTTGAATAAATTCTGCATTATGCTGATTTCTAACACTGCCACAGTTTGGGTTCAGGTAAAGAAAGTTCAAAAATATCCAGTGAGCATCCCAATACTTTAGCTGTAACAGTGTTTCATTATATGCAAAACCTCAAAATTTTCAAGGGTATTTGGAGTTCAAGAGAGTACTTTGTCACAAGATCTAAAATTATTTCTCTTGTGGTGCCCAGGTCTATGTCTATCAGGTTTTGATGCTAAACATCACAGCTGCTAATCACAGCTCTACAGACATTTATAACTACACCTTAATACCTTGAACTATTTACATCTCTAATAGTGTGCTTTTTTAGATATTGTTTCCAAAACAAGGGCTTCTTAGCCACATCTTAAAAACCAAACAAAGAGGAAGGGACGGTGTCCGCATGGTGTTATGTAAAGTTCTTAATTCCTCATTCCATTTATATTAGTGCAAATACACATGTATATTTATTTGTTCATTTGTTAATCCATCTTGCAAAAATGTGTGTTCTTCTAACTTCTTGTCTGCAGAAGTCACTTTTACCAGAACAGCTTTTTAAAAGTTATTTATTTATTTATTTATATCAGGCTAAGAGGATAAGTCCCCTTCTTCCAGATACAAAACAAGAAAACATGGCTTAAAAACTGTCAGTTCAGCATAAGGATTGTAATAACACACTCTACAGTTACTTAGCAAATGAACTCAAACTAAATCTACTGCAGAAATGTAGTTATCTCCTTGAGAGAAACTTTTCATCACAAGCATAAGACATTTGTGCTCCAGTAAGTGTCCTTCCTGTAAGTGCTGACTTGAATAGTTTTGATCCACACAGCCATGAAACAGTCTAGACATACTGTTTAAGCCTTTCTGTATTCCAAGAGAAAATTCTTCAGGATGTTCTTTAATACAAACCATAATTTCAGAATTCTTCACCTCACAAATTTTCAGAATGCACAGCAATGCCCAATTTTCCTCCAAGGCTACAAAGAGGATAGCCTGCTCTGCATTTACACTGGATTTTCTTCTGTCCATACACATTTTTGTTTACAAAAAGTTTCTTTTTTTTCTTCCCTAGTGGTATTTAATGTATGTCTAAGACAGTTAGGGGAACTCTTTAATGTCACCCATCTACCTAAACATAGAAATCTGCAAAGTTCACATCAATGCACTTGATTCAGAGGTGGGTAAAAACCAGTAATAACAGAAGAACATTAAGTTATCAGGGGTTTGATTTTTTATTTTATTTTTATTACAGTCTGCAACCTAGTAGAAAGATAAATTTTAATACACCCAAAAAGTGTTTATTTTCGAAAGTCTTTATGAATCACATATAGTACTTAAAGGTGATGATCCACAGATGAACAACTGGGTTATTGGCAACCTACAGGGAAGTTTGTGCAGTCTGAAATGACATCAGTTACTGCTGTTGAAAGGGGGTCCATTATCCGACATTTAATTATTACATATTCTGGTTACTCAAGAAGAATTTGAAGTAGTTAATTCTACTGTAACAGATAACAGATATGCTGAAACTGATAAACGTGCAGCCAGTTCTCAAACTTATCTTGATGGTAAATATATGATTTTGCAAGGGAAACAAAGAGGAATGAGACTTGACAAGGGAGGGTAAAAGAGGTTAGCAGTCATGTCCAGCCTTTTTGTATACTACACTTCCTTGCAGTCTCTAGAGAAACAGATGCAATGCAAGCTATTCAGAAAGCTCTAGCAACATTTCTGAAAACAGAATATATGAAGTCAAGAGTGCATTCTTTATCCTTACTGCTATCTCAAGTTTTATTATTATCTAAGCCCAGAATTACTCAGATCTTTTTTTTTTCCATAAACTAGTTTCTGGATGACTATTATGACTTCAAATGTAATCCAGTAAGCCTATTTTTAGTGAGCTACCAAACAAAACTTTAGTTAGTAGTTACTGATGAAGAATTAGTGTAGAGGAAGAGAAAGCAGGATGAGATCAGGGAGAGAGTTCATGAATAAAAAAATTACAACTATGGGAAAATAACCCATTACAATGGAATATTATGTTTTCTTTGTCTTAATTTCAATTCATTATTTTCATGCTGTGCATGCAACTTCCAGTAAAATCCTGTATCAAAACATTATTAATACTTACATATGCAGACACTCTGAAGACTGTAGAAATAATACGTATTTCTTTTGTTTCAGGATTCTTTTGAACACTGAAATACAGGGGAATAATATGTACTTACTATACACTGTAAGTAATGATGATTAGAATCTTTCATTTATTAAATACATTTTAAACACTGCGTCCTCACTCAAATTTTATGAAGGTCAAACTCAGTTAAAATCAACTTATGTCACACTGACCATGGAAAGGTATGTGGCCATTGCTAGATAATGTGGCTATTATGACATTTTACTGAAAAATATTGAGTATATCTAGTCTGAAACTGACTTGGTTTTAGACATAGAATCACAGAATCACAGAATATCCCATGTTGGAAGGGACCCACAGGGATCATTGAGTCCAACTCTTAACCCTGCACAGGACCATCCCCAAGAGTCACACCATGTGACTGAGAGTATCGTCCAAATATTTCTTGAACTCTGTCATGCTTGGGGCTGTGACTACTTCCCTGGGGAGCCTGTTCCAGTGCCTAAGCATCCTCTGGGTGAAGAACCTTTTTCTAATATTACAACCTAAACCTCCCCTGAGACAACTTCAGGCCATTCCCTTGGGTCCTGTCACTGGCCACCACAGAGATGAGATCAGTGCCTGCCCTTCCTCTTCCCCTCATGAGGAAGTTGTAGACTGCGATGAGGTCTCCCCTCAGTCTCTTCTCCAGGCTGAACAGACCAAGTGACCTCAGCTGCTCCTCATACGGCTTCCCCTCAAGGTCCTTCACCATCTTTGTTGCCCTCCTTTGGACACTCTCTAAGAGCTTAATATCTTTCTTATATTGTGGTGCCCAAAACTGCACACAATATGAGTGAGGCCAGTGCAGAGCAGAGAGGGACAATCCCCTCCCTCGACCGGCTGGTGATGCTTTGCCTCATGCCCCCCCAGGACACGCTTGGCCCTCCTGGCTGCCAGGGCACTGCTGACTCATATTCAACTTGCCATCGACCAGGACCCCAGATCCCTTTCTGTGGCACTGCTTTCCAGCATCTCATTCCCCAGTCTGTATGTACATACAGGGTTGGCCTGTCTCAGGTGCAAAATCCAGCACTTTCCCTTGTTGAACTTCATATGGTTGGTGATTGCCCAGTCCTCTAATTTGTCAAGGTTGCTCTGCAGGGCCTCCCTGACTTTGAGGGAGTCAACACCTCCTTTGAATTTTGTGTCATCTGCAAACTTGCTTAGCATCCCTTCCAGTCTTGCTTCCAAGTCATTTATGAATGACTTTTGTGTTGAAGAACACAAAATGCAGCTCTGTGGAACCCCACTACTTTTCACAGTTTTCAGCTAATAAATCACAGCAATATTACCCAGATGCTGATGACTCCAGTATAGTTTGCATTTTGATAGCTATGAAAAATTATGCAGCTAAATATTTTGTAAAAATCTTTTCACATATTCTTTGAGATAAGAAACCTGCAAAGTGAAATGCATCTTAGTACAGACCACAAGAAATAGCAGCAGTACTGGTGAAGAAATGCAGTCTTTAGCTCATTTTTAACTAGTAGGTATAGTTTATGATAATTTTTCTTCCTTTGGAATTTTGTATACATAGGCAGCTATGCAATTTAGGATGGGATTAGTTCCGAATTTTTATATTTCTAGTCTGTGTTATGAAGACTGCTATTTCTTTCATCATGTTTACAAAAAACACTGAGATATCATTGCGAAGAATCCAGGCATCTCAACATATTTTCAATTTAAGTATTTTTAATTTGTTATTTTTCCTCAGCTCTGCTTTAAGTGATGTTTACATTTCTTCAGAAATTAGATCATGTAACTGTTATTAATTTATCTAATTTTGGAGGTTCCTATTTACATTAACTCACTATGGAATAGCTGAGGCTTATAACTTCCATACTTACACACTTCCAAGAAATGCATACCTCAATACCTGCCTTGCCACAAACAGATTCCATCCCTGGGAAAGGTCCCAATATAGACAAGTTACTAGAATGTATGTTAAACACAGGCCAGTGAACTCACCACACCAGGTCCAAGCTGTGACAGCAGTCCCCTATTACCAGTGCTTCAGCAAAGCTTTTTTTTATAAGAGCAAGTGAACCCCAAATCAACCAACATCACCTTTGTTGATTCAATCTCTCCAGCCAATAAAAAAATTGACTCTGCAATCAACTGACTGCCTGTGGAGTCCTTTGTCATGTTTGAACCCACACTGTGAAGATCATCTTCCTTGGGGGGAGTCGAGGCTTTCTCAGAACTTTTTGTTACATCTGATATGTTGATATACTCAACAGTGGATTGAAAAGCATTGCTGAAATTGGTACTGACCCCAGCTGTCTGCCTTCCCAGCCCTTCAGAGATGACTGTCCCTCGCAGGGACAGCTCAGCTTCTGAACCACTGCAGTTTACAGACCAGCATATTAAGACAAACTAACATAGATGTCAGTTTATGCTAACATACTAGGTTGGAAACTACAGCATTTCAGAAACTGTTTAACCATCTCTGTGCAAAGAGTGACAACTTTCAGAAGAAGATATAGAGAGTTAGTGTGGTTATCGCTTTCTACCATATATTACCACCCCCAAAAGCTACAGTTCTAAGTTACTCTGTCTTCAGATTCTTCTCTGAAAATAAGGCTACCACTTTCTGGTTTCATATATGTAGGATATCAAAGTAAGAGGTGACAAAGAATAAGTTTTTCTATTTATTCCACTGCCTTGAGAAATTTTCCCCTTGTGGTTAGCTTCCTGTAAGTAATTTTTCAGAATGAGTGTTTATTTCTAGCACTTTGGTTATTTTTTTAAGGCAAAAAATTGTGTCTGTGAAAATCAGATAGATTCTTCATTTGTTGACTTGAAAGAAACCAGGACATTGCCTTTAATGAGTGTGTTTGCCCCATTTCTTTTTTTTTTCCCTAAAAGGTTTTAGAAAAAACCATGTTGTCTTCTTGAAGAGGACAGTATTAATAGCCCCATGTTCTTCCAAATTGTTAACGTCTAAACTATTCATTGAATATGGTAGTTCATCACTTTAATGTGCATCTATTCTATTTTTATGAAGAGCAAACATCTTCATCTCAATACACTTTGGGATTTATTAATACCCTAACCTTACCAGCAGTATTTTATTAGGCTCTCCAAATAACAAAAGAACAACTTAATGCCTTCAAATACATTCATTCATTATGGGGGAAAGGGCATGGAGATGGAGATGAAGCAAGGAGAAGAAAACACTGACTACAAGATACCACAGCAGCTGTCACCATCGACAGACACTGTCAGAAAAATCTGGGGTTAAGTAGAGAAGGCAAGATTTATCAACAAAGATTCATGGACTTTATTTTAATTAACAAATTTTTGTTGTGTAAGTATATTCTTTAACCAAATCAAAATACTACAAGAAATTTTGAATCATTTAGGTTACACAGGATATGACAGTAAACACTAGAATTTTGGATGGATTCAACTGGTCACAGACTATTTATGAATGGATTAGTAACAGACTACAAGTTGTGCATTAATTCATTAGTAAGAAAATATCACTTTTTTGCAAACAAGAAAATATCTGCCATTTAATAATTGTATCTGGAAGTCCCTAGCTGTGCTTGTAAAATATCTAGATCTCCTAATTTCAAAAAGATTATTGCATTTTCTCATAATAAAGCTATACACATGGAAATGCTTTAATAAAACAAAATCTCAAACCTTTTGATACTATTTCGAATGCCAGTGCCTTGGAGTTAGAACTTAGGAAAGGCCAGAAAAAACTGTTGTAATAAAGATAAGTAAGGAAAAGCTCATAGGCCTGCTGCTCCTAGCAGTAAAGACACTTTTGTGTAACTCTTCATGCCAAGGCTCTTTTCCATAAGGAATACTGTTACAGGACTGAACAGTGGTAGTTTATACCTCTATAAGCTTATTGTTATTGGTCTGAGTTCATCTGTGGCAGCTAATTTTTCAATGCACATCACCTAGCAGCTAACAATTATTTTAGTATCCATTTGTTTTTTACCAAGCCTTCTTAGCCTTCAAATATAAAAATTCAAAATTAAACCTTAAGGAGAATACAGTTTACAGAATTTTTAATACCACAAAAGGTTTTTAATATCACTTTAAAACAGTAGAAAGTATCCAATGCGACCATAATCTAAGATGAAAAGAAACCAGACAGAGGATAGCAGTCTAAAAAAGAATTTAAAGGACAGTTAGTATTCAACAGGAATTTGAAGGTGAACTCTTTGGGAAACAGAATTTAAGCAATTACTACTGTCATTAGCAGTTGTTTACTGAAAATAAAAGGCTATGAGCAGGTAGTTTTCATTGCATTATTTTCTGGTGAATTTGTACAAAAATGAAGTAACACAGGCCTAGCATGGACTAGAAATTAGAAATTAAGTCAAGACTGTCATTAGTGGTCATCTTCACAGCCTTTCAGTGGCTTTTTCTCTCTTAAGATGGTGGAAATAAAACAGCAGCATCATTTTGGTAACCTGGGGACAGGGAGAAATAAGACCAAAAAAAAAGACAACCATGATTGTGAAGGGGGAGGGAAGGTCTGAAATGTCAAAATCAAAAACTTCTCTCATGGTAGTGACAGAGAACTTAATATCAAAGGACAAAGAAAAAAGATTTAGTTAAATTTTAAATTTCTTTTTCAACTGGTATTGAGTGTTAACACCAGCTCCTCTGGCAGTGAGAAACCAGCAGACATTTATAGGCACAGAAATGGAGAGGCACATGGTAGATAAATACTGAAGATCAGTCATCTCACATGAACTGAGTAGATGTATTTCAAAACTTCAGAGGATAGAAAGCAATCTGCCAACTGAGGAAAAAAAAAAGACAAAAAGAAACAGCAGAGGAATGGATCTTGAAATATTTTCTCCTAATATTGTATAAAGGACAGAAGTAGCACACAAGAGGAAAATCACAGAAATATATAAAGGGTCAATAGGTTGAGGATACAGAAAAAGTAAACCTTGAAAGCAGGATGAAACTGTGGGAAGATCTTGGCAGATGCTTTTTTTTGTTTTAAGTAACAAGACCTACTTGATATCCTTATCAAATTTTACAGCATAAAAAGGAAAAAGAATGGGAAGATGTTTAAGGAGATAGGAAGGTAAAGAAAATGAGTGGCTTAGAACAGAACTTGAACATGTTTAGGATAAAACAACTCAACAGCAAAGGGAAGCAGTAAAGGGAAAGAACTGATTGGATTTGCACTTTGTCCTAGATCAGTTGAACAACACAAGAGCAGAAACAGCTGCAGGCAATGCAGAGTCAACTAAGGCCCAGGATTAAAGTAACAAGCAGCTTGATTCAAGTGCAGAGTGAGCAATTTAAAAGAAAAGGGAGGGTAGTGTTGAAGCACTCATGGATGCTTTTTCTGTCACATCCAGTACTTCTGAAGAAACCACTTGATTTCCATCTATATATGATATGAAAATACAAAAACTAATCAGACTAATAAAAAATTTAGTAATATCTTTGACAATCTCTATATTCCCATTGCTTAACTAGGAATGAGTCTGCATAACCTATAACTACATTCTGTATCCCACTAACCAGGGAATAAGAAGTTTTGTCCATCGGAGAAGTCAGCATATGGATATATCGAAACAAAATTAACTTTTTATTCTGAATTTGAATGTCTGAACAACCACCCTTAGTTTCAAGGAAAAGAAACCCTCACGTAAAACTCCAAACAATTCCATACACCAGACCTGGCAAAAAATATATGTTAGTCCACTGTGTCATGTTAACAGCCAGATTCTATCACCCTTAGCATTACACTGTGAGAAGTGTATTTGCTGAATTAGGAAGGCCAAAATGCAAGTGAATTACAAAAAAATTTAAAAAAAAAATCAGCAGGAATAAAATATATACAGAAATAAAATTTTCAACTAATTATTTCAATTTCTAAATTCTAAATCAAAAGCAGTCCAATGGAAAGTAGTGTAAAACTAAACAGCCAAGACTTAATTGTTGATATTTTATCAATGACAGTGGGAATACAATCTGTTTCCAGTACCATGCCATGTTTTCAATAGATGATTGCAAAAAAAAAGTATCTTTAAAATGGTAGCGAATTATCAACCATCTATGTCCATAAATGTTATATAAAAAGAGTTTTTATGTGGGACAGATGTGATTAAAATTGCATATATTTTGCACTGAACTAATACTGTTGTTACATGGTATTTTGATGGTCGAAGCCAAACAAGCTTACAGGTGGATTAAATAACAGCTCCATTTTTGAAGCAGCAGTGCACAATAAATTTACACAAATCGACACAAAGTATCTATGCACAGTACATACATACACGGTTGTATAAAACAGAATAACACTTACCTCACCAAGTCTTTATAAAAAGCTTTTGTAGTTTCTAAGTATGGGTCAACTACATCTTCGAACTGGCAAAGAGTTCCTCCGATGCAAAAATGCTTAAAAAGACAGAAGAGAAATTCCTCACGATCCAATTGACTGAATAAGTCATAATGGTCAGAATCCTCCAGAAGCAAGACCTTGTAGAACAAGAAAAAAAACAAGGAAGTCAAATTGATAAAAATTGCTTATTTGAGATTCAGTTTATAAACAATGCAACTACTTTGCTGTATGGCACACAGAAATTATGCCCATATAAAATATAGGAACTAGGGATGGAAATACATATTTCTCTATAAATCCTTCTTCCAGTGATGCAATTATGTTCAAAATTCTTACATAAAATATAAACCAGAATCACTGTCAGATTTGTGCCCAAAAGCCATAAGGGAATATTTTTCACGTTTTGTTGTTTCACTGATTAATTATTTGTCATGCTAGTGAAACGATCAATAATCTGAAAACAATCTAACTATATTTGGGGTGTGAACCACTGCCAAACCACTGGCAAGGTTTTGGTAACTTTGCCAACACTTGCATTTTCACTCTTAGATTGACACAGTTATTTCATATTTGTAAAAGAATCCTAGGATCTCCCAGAGGAGATCACTTAAACTCACATCATGCTTTACTGCAGACTCCAGTGAGCCTTAATCTGTAGGCTGGATTAACCAGACATGCTCTCCAGCTGTCTCTATGTGTCTCACCTGCCTTTTGCTGAGATATTATGTGAACACAGAGAACTTGCTAAATTAGTCCCAACACTGCACACTGTAAATGTGGAAAGGACAATCCCAATGGCTACAAGACATTTGAGTCATGTCAGCCAAACTGCAGATGCCAGCCCAGGCAAACTGGTCAAAGCTAGACATGAGCCTACTACTCTCTGGCCCTCTTTATAACACAGCCTGAGTAAAAAGGGGTCAGGGCAACAACTGTTCTGGATGGCCACTTCACATATATCCCAACCCCCTTCTTGGCTGAAGCAAGAGAAGACAAGGCAGGTAGGAAAGAAACATGGAGCCTTGCAGCTGAGGGCCACCCTCTGACACCAGGAGACAGTTTGGTGCCCCCTACAGTCTTCTGTCTTAGAGCCCTGGCTAATTTAATTTGAAGTTTTGATGTCATTCCTGGAAGATTTTTACTCTTATTCTTTCTGCTGTCTTACCACGAGTAGGAATCCCATTTGTTTCAAACCAATGTGAAAACCTCAATTTGCAAATGCTGACACACACATCCCTTCCATGGGAAGGAAAATGGGAAGACATTGAAACCCCAACAATTTCTAATTTTAAATGTTGCCTCTAACTTTCCTACATACAATATACTTAATTTTCAGAAAATATTTCACATGTACCCAGCTTATAAATAAATACATAGTATTTTGAACTGCTAGGCTACAAACCACATCTGAAATTTAAACATGAGCTTGAGTTCTCACCTTTTCCCAGAACTTTACAAGACAGACCAGTATTTCAGGCCACATCCTGTAACCAGTGTCACTGGTTCAAATACACTGCCTTCAAAGGATTTGCCAAGTGCAAATGAGTGCAACTCTATAATTATTAAGTACTTATGCTGATTATATATACAAGGAAGAGCAAAATCCAGTTCTCCCACACTATGCTTTGCTAATGCTAAACAAACTAAAGTTTAAAAAATTGGTTTAGCTTAGTTTATGAAGTCAAAAGAAACACAATAAAGACATACATTGATTAAGAAGGTGCCAATGCTAGATTCTTTTCCAGAATAATCTGCTTTCTGACCCCTCCACTACAGTATAACAAAGTTTTTACATTGCAGGCCTGTTCAGGAGTTATACTTAGTCCCCTTCCAGTGTTACACTGAAAAATAATTTCCTTTTTCATAGTTTCCTCTTCATTTTAGTGAAAATTTATGAAGATGACTTTCTTTAAATGTCTTCACATATGATATGGTCAACACCCCTGGCCAAGAATGCTTCAGGATGTAGCTATCAAATACATTCAATTTCATCAACTACCTGGAAGGCTGGGTGAACCTACAGCTCTGAATATCAGAGAACCTTTCCTTTGGCACCCCTTGTTTCCCCCTCCTAAGCAAATGAATATCTACATTTCCCCACATACACCCAAGGACTGACTACTTGAGACACAGGTGGGCAGGTTTTCCCTTTTTCTCCCAAATAAGAAGGAAAGAGGGCCCACCTGGAAAACAGTCCCTGCTTTCACACATTTAGGCAATGTACTGCCTCAATTGTTTCTAAAACATGGCTATCAATGTGTCCTTATGGTACCTAACAGAGTATGAAAAACTATAATAAATTATTCATTACTATACTGACCTTCCTTAATTCATCAGAGATAAGAATATCATCATAATAGTCATCGTAACATTTCACAATATCTCCAGTTTCTCTAACAACTCCTTCACAGTACAGCCGATCAAAAAATGACATGGAAATCTGTGTGCAAGGTACCACTGTAGCTTCAATTTTTGTCACTTTAGAACCTGGAATATATAGGAAGCTGGTTGCATGTTTCATATGCTTTAAAAAAACACAGATTACATAAGTATGACTCAATCACACAGACCCTCAAAAAAGCCAAAGAAAGGTAAGAAAAAAACAAGTGTAAAGAAAACATTAAATTCATCTGCATGCCACCTTCCATTAAGGCTCATGTGTTTGCTCCCTCTGTCGGTAAATACTATCAACCGAAACTAGGAGTAGATGGAACACTGTGAACTCAACATCATGTTAGATCACACCCTTAGAAAAATCATATTCCACAGCTTAACCCTTAAAGAATCTAAGGACAGCTGCCAAATTTGGCATGATGAAGTACAAAAGTCAACAGCTGCTAACAGCACCCCACAATGTAAAAACCAAAATGAACACAACCCCAACAAATTTTTTCTTTATTAAGTATTATATCTGAACTTTTTGAAAAGCTTTATTAACCAGCTATTTCAGAAAATGAAAAAGGTACTCTCAACATTTCCCGTATGAATCTGAAGTATTATCTCTGTAATCACTAAATGCAGGGTATATTTTTCTATATTTTTTTCCCCTCTGCTTGCAAGTCATCCAAGGCCAGTCCTGTTGCTCATAGACATCTGAACCATTTGAGAGCCCTATAGTATTTTCCTTAATGAGGTATCAGTCTAGAAGGGCACATCTCTATATACAGTGTTACATCTACAAATCTTTATGCATGGTGTTGGATAACTTATGGCACCTTAAATAGCATTAGACCCCATGTTTGAGAAGCTTTGGACTCAGTCCAAGTTCTGTGTGCTCTCTACAGTCCAAGTGTTCAGAACATATTCTCTATCCATCTTGTAAGTCCACCTGAACACCCTCATTGGAGACTGGTCAACAACATCACAGTATCAAAAGGCTTTTTACCATACAATTAAAGATAAAATTCAGTTGTGACCTGACAAACTGACCTAAAGGATCACTAAGGACTACTATTTGGGAAATGTCCAGATTTCCCTCTAGATGACAGTATTTCAGGAAAAGAAACATGCCAAAAAGGGGTGTATGAACCAGGATGTTTCCAAGAGCATTGGAAACCATTTCATTTCGACCCTCATCTTTGCAAGCATAGCATAACCTAAAATTTCTCTTGCCCACACAGTTCCAGAAAGCCCTTGGGATTTCTGCCATATACTTACATGGAGACTATTTATTCATAGGTTAAGTAGGACTGGCATTTTAATATCTAAACCCAGGTAAACTGTACCACCTACCTGATCAACACTAGGAAAAAAAATTAAAGAGAAGTTACAAGTTGATGGCTTGAAAATGCACCTACTTAAGCTAAAATACTGACATGAAATTTTATAATTATTTTACCAGACCAATGTTATGTAAAGAAAATCAGCTATAGACATTTAATTGCTTGGCTTCACGTCTACAGATTATGAAAAAGAGTACCTTTTATTAAAGAAAAAAAGTTTAGGACATTCTCCTACCTGTCCACGTAGTGACTATCAAACAATAATGAAATTATGTAACCAAAAACACAAGTCAGAAAAAAAACATTAATTACAGCCTCACAACCTAAGAAAACAACAAAACTGATTTATATTTACTTATTCATCCTTCCTCCCACCCCTCCACTTCCAGCTTCCTCTAACTTTTAATTATCCAGCTTCCTTTCACAGGGATAGAATTTTTATTTTATAAGGGATTTAATATGAGCCAAATCAGCCCTTAACAGGCTGATTTTGTAAATACCTATGAATTAAAAACTGAGTCAACTAATAAAAATCAGATGTTAAATGACCTGAGAAAAATGAAAAATCTTACATTTTCCCAGTTATTGAGCTAAAAGTATAAGAAATTGAGCTATTTATAGGCCTCGAATTGTAAGGATTTTTCTGAAAAAAGATTTTATGAAAACTTTGATCAGGTAAAAAAAATCCAGAGCTTTGTAATCTATTCAGTAATTCAGAAAACTGAACTATAAATGGAAAAGTTTAAATACACTGGAAGCTCCTAGTCTCCATTTGAGAGGTGAGATTTGAAATTGGAGATTCCAAATTTCCTAGAAAAGAGTGACTAGTTTTAATAATGCTGTAAAAGTGAGAAATAAAATAGGAAGAAGAAATGCCTTGACAACTCTGCAAGTGGAAAACAAAGAGCTGAGAAGTCCTGAAGTCGTTAAAGCTTCTTATAACAGCCAGCTCTGAAGTATCTATAAAGTGTTGCCAATATAATTTTAAATGAACATGCTGCATATCTAGTAGGGGGCAGACAAACCCTGGACTAGGTATATTTAGAATTCCTTCAAAATCTAAGACAGGTTTTTACGTCAGAAAAACATCTTGCAATTTACTATTTACAAAACAGGTTATATATACTGCAAGTTCAGCGCTTAGAATTAAAAATAGGCTATTTCAAAAGTAAAAAGTGCAGGTTGATGATTTATAGGTTCAAATGACATCTACATTTTGTTGGCAAGTTATAACCTATAACTGTAGTCTAAAATATTGCTGATTTAAGATTATAATTCAGATTTTAAAATGCCATTCCAAAGACAGAAATCGTTGAAGCTTCAAGTACATATGGGAACTCAAGAATCTTTTTTCAGGCAAATACTGAATTTTTATTTACACAAAAAGAGCATAACCCTACCCCTTTGAAGATAAGTTTTCAAGTGTTAATTGAGCTTAAGCAGATACAGTCCTGCCTCCCCAAGACTGCTGACAGGTGCAAGGCCAGCAATGCGTCCAAGGAAAAACTACTATTTAGTTCTCACTGCAGCTATTTCAAACACACAAGACTCAAGACATAAATTGGTATGCATCAAATTTGTTCCTTTAGCTGCTTCTATTTTTGAAATATCAGAGTAACCCATGAAGAGGTGGCTTAAAGCACATGTCAGAACTATCAGGTACTGTGCCATGCAGCCAGGAGGAGGGGAAAAATATCCCTACTACAAGAGGCAAAAAGTGTGGTGTGAGAATAGGATAGTAAGTATCTTTCTGATCAGATCAAGCAGACTAGAGAACGTCCTTGTGTGTAATTTACCTAAAATGTTTCATTTCGAGCAATGTTAAAGCTGGAGTCCTCGAGACAATGTATAATTATGGATTCTACCAGGAAAAAATACATTCTTAGTGAAAAGGTGCAAGGGGACTACATCCTCAAAAAAGACGAAGTTATTATGAAAACAAACACTACTGTTATATTGATGATTTATATAATGCTGACATCTTTCTGTGGGTCCATAAATACTTGCTGCTCAAGCTCATGGAGGAGAGGAGAAGGGAAGTTTCTAAGGATCTATCTAGACTTGACTTATATTATGCATCCAAACTATTTCCCCTCTGAAAAAAAACCCTAACATTTTTGTTTGCAAGAGAATAAATACAGTATCTGAATCAACCTAGATTATGTAATTTTTCCTCAGATATTCTAAAAAGTAAAATAAGCCCATTTCCAGCATTTTTTTAGGAACAGGAATGTGTTTTTAAAAGAGTTACTCCACAGTGATAAGTAAATGATAAATCTGCATTAATATATCAGCATGTCTGAAGAAGAAAATACTAGAAGATGATTTTTACCTCCTCCCACTCACAGTAAATTCTTACTATATTTTCAAAAAATGCACATGAAGACTAAGTATAGAAAAATGAGCCAACATTCCTCACCAAAAATAGGCAAAGAATGGGAAGATGAAATTTTAAGAGCAAATGGGGTATACCAGCTGTTCAGGATTTAGAAAGGGAACCCTTCCAGTCCTTAGAACAAAATGCACTACTTCTGTGCAGAGGAAGACTGAGCAGAATTGGGAGTTAAGCTGAGATACTTGGCAAGTGACCCTCCACTCTTAACATAAGGTATGTAACCTACTGACCTTCACTGCAGGGACTGGCAAGTCGTAGGCTAGACAGATAGCCTAAAAAAATTCTTGCCTAAAGCAGGAAAAGGTTTACCCAACAGTTTGAAATATATCTATTTTTTTTCTGCTTGCCAGAGTGAGAAAGAGGTACCTGAAGGGGTACTTGAGATATTTTTTGCATCTTTTTATTTCAATTGTTTTAACAGTTGGATGTAGTGTTTGGAAAATGGATTTTAACTGAACAAAAGGGTGGCAATGTCTAGTGTCATTGTATATAGTGGGAAAAATCTATGCCAATTTCAGAGAGCTGAAATGGAAAAGTTAGAAAATTCCCAAAGCTCCATTAAATATTTACACACAGTAAAGTATTTGCAGACAAACCAAAAGAAATTAGGACTTCCCACTACCCCCTTTTAAAATATTCTTATTATGGAAAACCGCTTCGGCAATACCAGAGATCACATTATGCACAAAATCTCACTACATTATCACATGCAATTGCTGTGAAATTTTATGTGTTATTTACACAATGAGAAACACATTTCACAGTGGTGCCATAAATTTGCTATTTGATTTTAGCCTTTCTGCTTTAGTGTCTCATCTATATCTATAGATGTAACTGAGTGTTTTAAGTAGTTTCTGATATGGCAACAAACTAGAAGTCAACCTCATGGCATGATTGCACCTGGAGCAACCTATGACATGGGGCTCTTCTGCGCCTTGATCACCTCTGTTGTGCAGACAGCAGATTTACACGAGCTCGGAGGTGTGCTCTACCTAATCTGCTCCTCTCTCAACTTTAATTTGTAACAGAGCAATACTCTCAGATCTGTCCAGTAAGGTTGTTGCATCTATAGAAGAATGCCTTTCTCCAAACATTATCTGAATAATTAATGCAGTTGATTTTGTCTGGATACGTGGTCAGGTCAACCAGATGTCACAGACCATTCAGAAACAGTTCTAGGTGCTTGGTTTATGAATGATGCAGGGATCGAGGGAAAAAAAAGAGTAAAATGTGACAATTTAGTAACAGACAAGACAACAATCTTTTCTTTTAGTAAAAAAGTCATTCTTTAAGGTATTTGAACCAGGTGAGAATACACATATATGAACTGTCGTTATTAGAAAATGGCAAATTAGAGCAAAATAGTTACAACACAGACTTTTTTAGTTAAGACTAATTTATTCTAAATTTACCCAATGTAGTCCACTGTCCTGAAGCTGACAGCAACTTTAAACTGGAGTTCACGTTTTGATCATTAAAAAATGCCTATAATATTCAAATAAGAGAATACCAGTTAATGAAATGAAACATAAAATCATCATTTATAATGGCTTGAATATTTTCAAAGCAAATTATAAGGCTCCAATTCCAACAGTAGATTCTGTATGATCTTTCAGTTTGGATGCCACCAAATCCATGCTTTTGTAACTTTGTGTAGGCAGTGTCTTTTATACATTCAAGATATCTTCAGGTGCACGTTTATATATGCATTAAAGTTTTACAGTAAAGCACTTTTAGTCCAGGAATACACAAAAAAGCTGTATGAAATTCTCGAGGTACAGAAAAGTGAGGAAGAGATGAGACAGTTCTACCTCTTTATGCAATGTCGTTGAAGTGAAAAATTAAATGCTAAGTAGGATTTTAAAATTTGCACTTTTCAAACAAATTCAAAGCTTGGAGAAGTGTAGAGACACAAAAATTATTAAACAGATCTATAAGTTATTGATAGTGTGGAGAAGATGTTCCACATTAAGATTTGAAGTATTCAATCTTATTATCACTTAAGAAAGGAGACATGCATAGAAATGTTGGTAGCTGGCAAGTTTAAATGATAGATAAGGCAACTGAGAAAACCACACTTACATACATGTATACAAGCAGTGGGAATAATCATTGAAGAAGCTGCTATGAAAATGATGGATTTTTCAGTCTCTGCATCACCAAATCTCTTTACCACCCCTCTGGGATACAGAGAGATCAGACAGTATAATGTAATGGTCCTTTTTCCCCCCAATTACTTCACAGCTATTCAGATTTCATCCATTCATAGTGATATCTTTACATTTTTAATTCAAAAGATTCAAGCATTGAGAAGGCAAATGCGTATTTTGAAAACTTCAATAATTTGAGGTTCAATAAATTGAAACTGTTATCAGTGGGAGATGAAATATTGGTGCATTTCTGTGTGAATTTCTTTAAAATACAAAGAGGCTAAATTCTTTATCCAGGATAACAATATAAAGTAGACGTATAATAAATTAAAACCACAAGTGCTTTTGAGTTTTTTTTTCTGTCTGCAAATAGATACACAGATTTGATTTTGCAGACAAGAGAAGTGAAGGACACAAAATCAGTATGAGACTTGAGTCTCAAAAAAGCTAAAAGTTCAAACTTCCAGTATAAAGCAATGGTACCCATTAATTTTGAAAAAATTATATCTCCAGATATGTGGTGCACATGCACATCTAATTGCCCAGTGTAGTTACTGTGACAAAGCCATAGCAGCTGAGAGCAAGGGTACCACCTGTGTGTATACTGTTTAAAGTCTCACCCTGGGTGGACTTCCCAATATTAAATGCTGTGGCCAAGATCAGCTCCAGTTCAGATTTCCATTCCTGGGAAACCTGAATGACTAAATTGTTCCCTCTTGTAGCAGAGTAACACTAGTACAGACTAAAATATTTTTACTGGACAATACAGTTAACTCACAAAGTAAGACTTGAGCACCCCACCTATTTTCAAGGAGACAGTGAGTAGGCCAATAGCATGCAACACTGGTACTATGTTTCCTGTTATGCAGTTTTCCATTAGCTATAATTTCATGGGAGGAAAAAAAAGTCAATTTAAAATACAAAGGACTTAGAACTACCATAACAAATTCATCCTTTTGATAGGGCTTAAACTGCTGGTCAAAACCAAATGCTTGTGCTGTGATCCTGCCTTGCATGGACCTGAAATGGAAAAATGAGATTAAATATTCTGCAGACATACTAAGAACTCATTCACTCTGCAAATTTGTTAAGTTAACCACATAAAGTCCTATTCTGACCAATAATTGTAGGGGTTTGTTTGTTTTGGTTTTACTTTTCATTCTCAGTTATAGGAGCTTCCCATCACCCCCACACACACTTTGGAGGGCTCAGGCTGCATCAGAGCAACGCTGCGAAGCTGAAATAGACCTTGGCTCACTCTGGAAGGCGAGGACAGATGCCTCGCACCTCAGAAGGAGTGGTTTGCGTGCCTGGAAAATATCAAGAAGACTTCAGATTAAGAAGTGGGGGAATAAACGGGGGGAGAAATTCAAAAAGAAAAAAGGAAAATAGAGAGACACGGATCCGACGCCACCGGAGCGGGAGCCCTGAAGACGAGGTGAGGACTCCAGCCCTCAGCACCGCCTGCCTGTTCCCCGCCGCCCGCCGCTCCCTGCCGCCCCTAGCCAGACGCCTCTCGCAGCGGGCTTTCCTCCTCCCACCATTTGAGGAGGCGATCCTCGATGTCCCTGTCCTGCAGGCAAGAGAAGGATTTCTGTGACAGGGCCCGGAAGACGAAGCCCGCCCCCCGGCCGCCCTCGACCCCCGGCGACATTTCCCGCGGCCTGGCGGTTGCCGTGGAGACGGCGCCGCTCCGGCGCGGAGCTCGATCCCGCTCACAAGCGTTCCGCCACCCGCGAGGGCCCCCGGACACGGCCGTCCCCCTTTTCTTTGGCTTTTACCTATAAAATCCCCTAGTTCAACACCAGCCTTCTCCCCCCTCCGCTCTCTTCCTGTCTTTGCGCCAGGAAAGGCTTGCCAAGGGAGAGCCCAACAGGCAGGGGCGGGGGCTGCCACTGCTGCCTCTGCCAAAGCCACCTCAGTAACGTAAGACCAAAACCTGTTAGGAAAAGCCCAAAGTTATGCATTATGAACCTCTAATGAATCAGCGTTGCTTCTTGCTTCCCAGGATGCTGCGCCGCTTGGGAATAGGAGAGCCGTGCTTTTGAACTCTTCCCAGTCGAAATTAAAGGAGAGCATATTCTTACTTAAGCAAAATATTTCTGAAAGTCTAGTAAAGCAAGGGACACCTTGCAAAGTTTGGGCAATTTCCTGGCCTTTGCAGGGAAAGCAGTGAGAGTTTAAGGTTGCTGCACATCTCATGCTATATCCTTCAGCAGCTCACCGCCTCCCAAACCCGCCCTTGCTTTACTGCAGATTTCCAAAAAATGGCATTTTCCCATTAACCTACTGCTCAGGCTGAACAGCAGCCCCATTTCTAAGGAAAAAAAGAAAAAGCAGAATAGAGAGAAATGCGGACCAGCCATCACCAGAGGAGGAGCCTTGAGGGCATGGTGACGACTCCAACCCTCAGCACCTGTTCCCCGGCCACCTCTAGGAGTGGTTCTGTTGGTTTCTAATAAAAAAAAAAAATTAATCACATTCGATTTGATTAGAAAGCAGAAGAGAAAGGTGCAGCATGCCACGACAGCAGGGAGCCAAGATGAAACTGCTGCCACACACACCCTGGTCTCATTGCCCTCTAAAAGATGTCCCACAGATTTAATTTGTAAGACATGTTCATCAAACAGGCTTGTACCAAAGGAATCCAGAAGAAATTGATATAATAAGCCTATGAAGGAGCCCTGTTTTAACATCGTTTCAGTAGAATTCATTGCTCACTACATACTCACTACATTTTCTAACAGTGCAGCGAGCTGCAGTTCAGCAGATCAGATTGCTGTGTAGCAGTCATGTATGTGAGATTTAAGGAGCCATTCCTCTCTATCTTCTCCATTCTGTTTTTTTCCAAGTTCCCACACATTTCCATTTTTTTCACCTGATAAATTTTGCTTACACCTAAGCAATGATAGAAAATAAAGCTACGCTATACTTCAGGATGTTTAACTGGTAGAGATAGTTCAAGAGGAGATGAAGAAAAAGTGTGCCTTTCTTAGTTTTTAAATATGATGTAGAGTGGTGGCACCAGAAACAAATGACTATAACCTTATTCTCAACACATCTCCACCTACTCCAGCACTACCCCATCTGTTAAATTCCTCTTGCCACTAATACTGCTAGCCAGAGATTAAATAGCCAAAGTGAAAAAACTGGTTTGGGCAGGGAGTGATGTGTAGCAACAACTACCAAACACATAAATTCTTAATTTCAAATACAGATTTAAAAAAAAAAAAAAAAAGAGCAAAACTTTAGGTCTTTGTGGGCAAAAAATTCTACTGACTTTAGTAGGGATTTGCTCTGGTTAAAGTGTTGAATCAACTAGCACATGCTTAAACCCCTCTGAAATCTAGAGTGTTTAAACACTTTGATGAATCAGGAGAAAGGAAATGAGCAAGGACTTCAGGATTGGCCCAGAGGGATCAGGACAGGAAACTCTAAACTGTGGAATTAATTTCTTTAAAGCTGTGCCATTTACCTATCATAGTTTATGATTCAATAGTTCCAGTTTAAGCAGTACACAACAATAAAAGTTAAACTGGGACTTTCAGTTTAAACACTGACCTCATTATCCTCTGATGTCATGAACAACAGCCTGAAGTAGAAAGTCAGGCACAGTACTCTTTTAAACACAGACACTAAACTTGTTTTTTAAAATGTTAAGGATTTTGTCTTTTCACAGAAGATATTTGAAGGGTGGAAAACATATTTTTCTGACATAGAATGAAATCTGGTAGGTATATATTATTAAGCAATAGTAGTCCCTTCCTTTTGAGCAGACTGATTTTCAGCATCTTTTGTTTTTCACGTATTTACTTATGTGTGATTTTGAAGAGTTTTACAGTCCTGAATAATCTGTAGGCCTTAAGTGCAAAGCAAACAAACCAGCCTTTCCATGGCAAACAAAAATCAAATTACAGAGGACCAGCCCTGTTGCACCTTTTCGAAGTGCATCAGTCTTTAAGGCAAAGGTCAGCTGGTGACAGAGCAGCAGCTCATTCCAGTCAGGGAGGTAGGGAAGAACCTGAATGGCAACTCCTCCCTCCGTCCCTCCTGCAGAAGTCTTCAGCATAGCTGAGGGATAGTTAAGCCACGTGAATTAGCCAAATGGAGGAGGAAAGGGAAAATTATCACTATATATATTCATCTGTGATATAAATTAGCCTGTCCGGTGTTAAAATACTATAAGATAAATCTGATGGAGAGCAAATTAAAGTCCACATCCTGCATCTTATCTGTAGTGAAGGCTAGAACTACCCAGCATAGAAGGCACTGTGAAGTTTAGGTCCTGTAGAAGATTCATGGGGTATCAATATCCAATTCTAGGCACTTGCACTGATAAAAGACTCCAGGTTCAAGTCTGTGAGAGAGACAGAAGCCAATTAGATGCCAAATACAAATATATCTAAATCGGTAAATAGAAAAGTCTGTAGAATATCTGAATTTCCCCCTTTCTCCACTGCCACCTCTAACGTTACTCTTCAGCAATTGAAGGCTGCAAAGCAGAAGTCACCTCAGGCGAGGGCAGGCATTAACACCTCTGTTTGCAGAGAACTTTTTTTCTTTTAAAACACAAAGAACAGGCTTGTGATGGCCACCTTCATACCATGCAACTGGAGGCCTCACCCAGGAAGAGGAAAATCTGGATTTTAACATTTTTAGGCATGAGGAAGTCCAAGCTCAGAGCTTTTACATCTGAAGTGCCTCAACTACTAGGGCTGTTGTCACATCCTCTGAGTTAACCTGCCATTGTCCCAGCAAGTGTATTTCTGGATCACAGTGTCAGGATCGTGCAGAGACTCAGCAACCACATTTTCCTAGTGGTAGGGCTGCTGTATTCTGAGGCCAGCTCTACTGTCACAGTAGAGGCCAGCTCTACTGTGACCTTGGATCAGACAGCAGGGTGGGACAGAGCTGCAAGGACACTCAATGGGATCCTCATCTTGGCTCTGGAACTGCATTTCAGACCCAGCTGTTGTCTCAGCTTCTTGTTGTAGCTGTGTGGCCAGCATGCTCGTGCCTGGCCATGAACCTATTGGTCCTGAGTCTGACCTTAGACTCAACCTGTCTCATCTGTTTGGACTGGTCTGATGATCTGGACTTGTGGTTGAATGTGGTCACTGTCACCAGACCTGCTTTGCTGGTTAGGGGGCTGCGGGATGGGGCTGTGTCAGGGACGGCACTGCCCCACCAACTTTGCTGTCACCCTTGGCTGCCAGCTCAGCCAATTTTACAGAGCAACCCTCTCTTGCAGCTGCCTGACACACAGCAACTGGTTAAAAGGTGGTTGTGTTTATGGGAGATTTGTCCATATTGTCTGTTTAAGTTTAATCAACTTCATATATATATGAGTGACTGTTCCATTAATAACCTCTGTTTCCAAAGGAAGTGTGGTATGTTGCACTATTATGAGGCTTAATTCAAAAAGTGAGGCAAATATAGATAATTTACAATTTGCAAGTTTTTAAAGTATTTAGAGATAAGTAGTAAGGAAAATACGTGAGGATAATTAACTGAAATGAGCTTAGGTATCAAAGCAACAAGCTTTGCAATGCCTAGATTTCCAAAAAGAAACGTGAGATGATGGAGGTGCACAGCTAGAATTAGAGTGAGGCCTAGGAAACTCAACACAGTGTGTGTGAAACCATCCAGCCCCATCTAAGAGGGAAACAAAGAGGATTTACACACTAAAGTCTCATCTTACCATTACAATTTACGTTCTCCCCTGGAGATTCACTGCCTTAAAGCTCTCCTTCGAAGGCTGGTAGCTAAACACCCTTTCTCTAAATCAGGTATGGATTGCTGTTAATTTTAAACCCAGTAGAAGAAAAAAAGGGTTTCTGAGCTACTAATCCTGTTTTCAAGCAATACAGGAGTTGTTCATATACGCAAACAGCATTTGAGATGCCCATTTTCAAAGTTAAGCTTTTCACCTTATGCTTTGAGATTTCTGTGCTATACCCCCTTTGTTCTAGGACCACAAACCAAACATGCACTTGCACACATAGTTTTCCTACACAGTTTACCTACAAAAGCTTACAAGGTGTCTGGGTATTTGTGTCACAGAAACTGTTTCCCTGTGAAAAAAATAAAGTTTTATTATAGTAGTTGGAGAACATGAATTTGTATCTCTAACTTCTTGATTAGGGACTTTAGGAAGGAGGGGACAACCAACTCTTGGCCTGTTCAAGTTCCAAAAGGCTGTTTATTACTTTTATCCAGTGACTACCTGGCTAATATGAAATACTGAAGTAATGTTGGATTTAGGCATGCAAATTCTTTAGAAATTTTATTTTAAATGTTTTTTACTTATTCTAGTTAAATTTTTTCCTTATTATTTTAGACAACTGTGTAGCCATACTGCAAGGTGTCCTGTTACAAATTCCTTTAAAGTGTAACAGTTCCTCTCCCTCTGTGTGCATGAATACAGGCTACCCAGCCACTGGATGTGCTGTTTTTCTCTGGACAGTGATCTGGGTACGTTTAGGAGTGACTGAAGGTCTAGGTGCCAGAAGCTTAATTCAGTTGCTTGAACTTTAAAATCCCTCAAGGGGCTGGAAGATCTTCATGGGGCTGTCAGATATGACACAACACCTAGAGGAGACCTATGCTCCTCCAGACTGGTGGCTGGAGGTCAGGTGGGTATTTCAAATGGCACTAGACATAGAGGTGAGACCTGAGACCTTGGGG